GGAATCCTGCATCTGCCTCCTGCCGCCTGGCCTCCCTGCCTGGCCTGTGTCCCTCCTGTGTGCAGAGCAGGAGGCTCAGTCAGAGGCGACACCTTGGCCCTGGGGCTGGCCAGAGGAGATCACGGCAGATGGGAGGCCATTGCCGCTTCCAGGGACAGCGGCTCCAGCTCCCAGGCTTTTGGGCTGGTGGGCCAGGTCCCTGGTCCCAAAGTGGCCAAGCCCGTCTGCGCCTGCACTGCTGTGGGCACTGTGTGGGCCCCTCAGGTCCTTCCTGGCAGAGGGGGGTCCTGGCCTGGGCTTGGTGAGGATGACAGAGGGGGGCACCTCTCTTGGGACAGGGAAGCCACGGGTGGCTCTCCTGTGCCCCTGGGACCCTGGGGCATTTCCTGTCTGTGTGCTGTGGACGGGGCCCTGGTCTACCCCGTCTTTGGCCACTTGTGCCTGAGAGTCATAGCTGTAGCCACTTGAGAGCCCTCGCTGTCCTCAGCGCAGGGGTGGGGTGCTGGCTGGCACCTGGGGTAGGAGCTGAGACCTGGGGGTTAACGCGGCCGTGTCCCCGGCCCGCCAGGTCTGGGCAGCCTGCAGGATGGGGCAGCTTCGGGGCCCGGCTTCCGGTTCTCCCCTGTCTGCTCTGAGCCTCCTGCTGGCTGTGCTGCTGGGCCCTGGGGCAAGTGGTGCTGCCTCTGTGAGCCTTGAACCTTCCTCTTTAAAAGTGGGTCACAAGGCCGGCTTGACACAAGGCTGTCTGCAGTCACCCCATCTCACCCTTGGGCACCTGGTGACCTCTGGGGGATACTGGGACACAGGCTGAATGGCTGTGACTTGGGGACACCTAGCATCCATCCCAGCCCGTGCATGTCTCATGGGGGGACACAGCGGCACTGGCTGTGTCTCAGACGGTCCAAGCACCAAGGACCTGGCTTGGTGGACCACCAGCCACAGGGGACAGTGTGTCAGAAGGCTTGATTCCATTGTGCTGGAATCTCAGGATACAGAGGTTCCTGGCCTTATAAACTGGGGGCCTCCCTGGCTTCAGGTAAGACAGCACAGGACAAGCACCACCTCCCCAGGCAGCCTGGCTCGGCATTGAGGCCAGGAACTCCCGGGGGCTCTGGCCAGACATCTGTCCCTGCCCCAGGCCACCCCAGTCCCTTGGTGAGGAGGGTGGTGGGTGTGGGTGGCATCCCTGGCCCTGTGGGGGCGCCCGGGGACGTGGGACGCTCACCAAGGGGCCTGGCTGTGGGCTGTGAGCTCCCAGCAGAGACCTGAGCACCCTTAGCAACCACTCAGAGCCTCTCCTAGTCAGCGCTGGGGACCCCAGCGCCCCGAGAAGCAGCCCCTCCATCTTGCCCACTTGGCCCAGGGGACCCAGTCATTGCTAGCTCCCCTGGCCTCACCTGTTTCCTGGCACGGCCACCTTGGGAACCTCGTGTCAGGTCCTGCGGCTGCCCAGGAGGGCTCAGGGTGGCCTGGTCCCAAGGACCTTAGGCCTCGTCTGTCCTGCGTAGCCCTGACCCTTGGGAGTGACTTTTTAGGGGTGTCCGGGAGGTCTGGAGGGTCTCTGGGGCCCAGCTCAGTGGGGAAGGGGTTGGGGTCTGTCCTGGAACTTTGTCTGCATTGCTGTGCAGAACTCAGCGCAGGCCCCAGGGACAGTGAGTAAAACCTTTTCCTGCGCGCTCTTCTCCTGGTGCTGGAGTTGAATGCAGGGCCTTTGCCCTCCCCCCGCAAAATGTCCACAACGCTTTTCATTTTGAGACCGGATCTTGCTAAGTCTCTAGGTTAGCCTGGCAGGGCGTAAGCTTGCCATCCTCCTGCCTCAGCCTCCCAGAGTGGTGGACGGCAGGCCCATGCCACTGTGCCTGGTCTGCCTTCACGTCATTAAGCCAGCACCGCCGAGGCTGTGAGCACTGCCGTGACTTCTACGGGTAGCTTTGCTTTGCACAGACCCTCAGGCGGCAGCCTGGAGGGAATAGTAATGACGTCCCCACCTTACAGATGAGGAAACTGAGGCCCAGAGAGCCCAGGGCATTAGCCTAGTGACGCAGGCCTCTGAGGCCCTGTGAACAAGGTCTGGTAGTGGTTCAGGAGGGTAGCAGTTGAAAGCCAGCCGGCTCCTTGCTGCCAGGAAGGGGTGCATTGATCCAGCCTCCCTGGGGATGTGCAGTGGCCAAGATGGAGGCGTCCGGGGCTGGGGGAGGGCTGGGGGAGGGCTGGCTGTGCCGAGGATGGGGGAACCCTGTGAGGGCCACCAGCCCGGCTCTGGGGACCCTGGGATGCCTGCCTCGCACTTCACCGTGAGGAATTAGATTAGTTTTCCATAAAAACAGGATGTGGCGGGTGAGAGGGCGGCCGGGCCATCTTTTCTCTTGCTCTTTTTCCAGGAACTGGACATACAGCCCTGGGCCAGGACGGTCCCTGTCCCCACCCCACCTCCCCAGCAGGGCCTCTCCACTCTTAAGTGGCTACTTAATCCATCCCTTCTCTGGCCGGGAGCTTATTACACTGCTGGAGCCAGCAAGCCCCGGGGGGACCTGCTGCCAGCAGGGGTAGTGCGGGTAGCAGGCAGCGATGACCACCAAGCTGTGCCAAACACTGTGCCTGGCAGAGCAGGAGCCTGGCCCCTGCCTGGGCCATGAGGAATAAGCCGTTCCCAGGGTGCCCACGGGAATGTAGAATTGGGGCCCTGGAGCCCCCTGCAGGCCTCTGCCCTGAGGGTCTGTGGGCAGTGCTGGCCGGGAGCCGTGATGTCCGCAGGCTGCAGGCGTCATAGGGACCAGGGTCTGGGCCTGGGAGGCCGTGATTCCTGGTGTGGGGGTTGCCGGCCCCCTGAGAGGCCTGCTTTCAGATACCAGGCAGCTCTGGGGGTGCGGGGTGCACTGGGGTGGGGGTTTTGTCCTGTGGGCGATGGACGCCACAGGGGGGATCTGCTGGGGGCCCAGTAGGGTCCCCTCATTTCCTTCCCTGTAGCTCTCGATCCCGAGTGGGGCTGGCAAGGGGCCCAGTGGGGTGGGCTGCCAGGGCTGTCCCTCCTTGCTGGGTGGCCCTGGCCTGTGGGGATGTTGTCCTCAGCACCGTCCTTCCTCCTGGGTGGCCGAGGGTGATGAAGCTTGCCCTGCAAGTACAGTGCCTGTCTGATGGCTGAGAGCTGGTGGCATGCCAGGGCGCAGGGACACGGAGGGGTGGGTTTCCAGGAAGGCTGCTGGGCTTGCACGTCACTGTCACGTCACCGCTAGCCAGCGGCAAAGTGAAGCGGTTGGAGAGGGTGAGGGCAGCTCCTGGCCCTGGCCTGCCGTGGGAAGCAGGGCTCTTGAGTCCCCAGAGCCTGAGGCTCACTGCCTCCCACCGTGGTCCCTGAGCCCTGCCGAGCCCTCACAGGCAGGGACTGGCCCAGGCGACCACACACTTAGGGGTGTTCTGTCCACTCCTGCCCCACACAGCCCACAGCGCAGGCCCAAGCTGGCTTGGAAATGGCCCCGGATAAAATTCCAGAGCATGAATGGCTCCTTCCTGGGAAGACTCTTCTGGGGAGGATCGTAGGGGGATAAGCAGGCACCGGTTAAATCCGTTGGTCTGTCCTGTAAAGCACAGGCAGCCCCGGAGCCCTGGGCAGCCCTGCTGGGTATCAGCGCCACCCTCTGCACCTCAGAGACTTGGAAACAAAGGAAGGACGGGAGTTTTCTGTGAGCCAGCTGAGCACTCTCTTGGAAATGGAAACTGAGGCTGCTCCTTCCTGGCTGGGCCGGGGTCCAGCCCGCAGAGGGGTGGCCTTCAGGCAGGTCCCTGCCCCCGGCGGACTGGGCTGGGCCTGCGGGCCTGGCTGTTTGGAGCCGGCTGTTTTTCTCTCAGCCACTCCACGAGTGTGTTGAATTTCCATTGTCCCTGTGCCCTGCACCCTGCCTCCTCCGTGGCCACATAGCTGTTCCCAGCAGAAGGGGGGCTGGAAGAAGGCTCGGGCAGGCCTGACTCATGGGGCTTTCAGGGGTCCCCACCTGTGTGTCCAAAGTCTGCATCTGTCATTGGTGTCTGTCTGCTTGCTTTAAGGAATGGGCTGCTGCGATCAGGAGTTGAGGTGTTGCACACGGCCGGTGGCCTGGGGTGGAGGCACAGCCAGTATCCACACTGCCGTCTAGGTCCTGGTGCCAGGGGCAGCGGTGGGGTACTCGGGGGCCCGTCTACTCCGGGTCTTCCCACTTTGATCTCAGAGTGAATCCCATCTGAAGAACCCCCCACGCTGGCATTGAGATTGGCGTTTGGGCAGCGTGGGGCAGCACAGCAGGCCAGGTGGGTGGGGAGTCGGCCCTGTCTGACCCACAGGCTGATCTGCGGTGCCCAGGCTCGACCCTGAAGCCCACAGCCTGTGTGTGTCTCTGTCACTCCTCCTGGCTCAGGCGCTGCTCAAACCTGGCACCTGGTCCCACAGAGAATGTGGGATCCCTGAGCACAGCGACCCTCGTGTGCCTGTCCCTGGGGACGGGTGGAGTCCCCGAATTGTCACATCACCGAGGAGGAAGCTGAGGCAGCGCAAGGGGCTGAGCTCAGGTCGGACACTGACTCCTACCAAACCCCCAGAGCCCACGTGACGCCCTTGACCAAGATGCGCCAGCCCCCTCCCACCGCCGGCCCTGCCCAGGCAGCCAGGTAGCATTCCTGTCCAGATGCCACAGAGGCCCAAGAGCCACGGCCTACAACCAGGCCCGACTGGACCGGCCAGGAGTCTGAGTCACCGGGCGGGGCTCTGAGTCAGCACAGCTCGTGGGCCGGCCCGGGGCTGCCAGGGATGCGGGGTGCTTGGGGAGGCAGCCTTGGCCCTCGAGCGGGAGCAGCAGGCTGCCGCACCTCTCCGTGGGGTTCCAGCAGAGGCGGCAGCCCGGCATCCTGTGAGCGTGAGCGTGGAGGGACGTGCATCCAGACAGGCAGGGCTGATGGCCAGCCTTCCACTGGCCACCTGCTTCTCCAGGGAGGGCACAAGGCCCGAGGGCCCCTGAGACCCAGCCCACCCGCCACCCGGGGCTGCCATGCTAGGTTCCCCGGGAGGCCGGTGGTGTGTCTGGGAACCCACTTTGAGGACCTCCACCCCACAGGGTGGGTGACATTCTGTGCTCACGTGGCCATGTGCCCAAGAGGACCTGGCCTCCCTGTGAGTCCTGCCCGTCATGGTTTCTGCCCTGGGCCTTTGCTTTTGATGCTGCCCTCCTGGACTCCCCCAGCCCATCCTCTGCCACCTGCCGCAGCACCCCAGACCCCTTACCTGACGCCCACCATGTTCCTGGGCACGCAGTTTGCTGTCCCCTTGAAGGCAGGGCTTGGCTGCCAGCGCAGTCCCTGTGTCATGAGCACAGCTGGCCACGGTGCCCCCACCCGCCCGTCTCCACAGGTCCTGCCTCTGAGGACTGAACCAGATTTGCTCAACAGCGGATCATGAGCTGCTGGGCTCCAAGCCCTGTGCTGAAGCTGTGCAGTGGCAGGACGTGTGGCTGGGCCTGCGCACGCCGGTGCCCCCTCTGCCCGTCTCCCAGCAGCTTTCACAGACGTTGTGTGTGTACCGCAGGGCGCCCTGTGGCAGCCGCATCCCTCCCGTGTGCTCTCAGGCGGCACAGTACTGCGCAGCCACTTGACACAGCATTGACACCACACCCCGCACAGGGGGCTTCGGTGCGAGGGGACATGTGTGTCTGCTCTGCTTCAGAGGGACCGGGGGGCTGGGACGGACCCAGGCCTTCCTGCCGGGCTGCCTCCTCAGCCCTTGTATTATTTTTCTTTTCTTTTCTTTTCTTTTTTCTTTTCTTTTTTTTTTTGGTACCAGGAATCGAAATCAGGACCTTGCGCTTGCCAGGTAGGCGCTTATGCCACTGAGCTATATCCTCGGCCTCTTATTTTTCATTTTGACACAGGGTCTCACTAAGTCACTAAGTTGCCTAGGTTGTGCTAGCACTTGCGATCCTCCTACCCTCCTGCCTCAGCCTCCCAGAGTTCTGGGGTGATAGGTGAGTAGAAGGGGCTTGAGTACTTTCAGGCTTTGGTATCCATGGGGTCCTCTGCCAGTTGTTTGTGAATACTGAGAAGCAACTGTTCATTATTTGAAGGTGCGCGGCAGATCGGGACCTGTCCCGCCTCGCAGCCCAGCCCCCCTTGGGAGACTCAGGGTCGCTCCTCTGTGGCCACCCCAGCCCACACAGGAGTGGTCCCAGGCCAGCAAGGCTCTGAGGCAGAGGGACACCAGCCCAAGTGCTTGTGTGTGGTGGGGAGCTCTGCCAGTGGAGTCCCCTGGTCTCCTGCTGAGCACGGTGCTGAGCAAGGCTGAGGTTCGCGTGCAGCCTGGGCGTGGATGGGAGCTCATGCACCCACGGGGGAAACCCCGGGCAGTGTCTTCGCGGTGCTGCACCCGAGTTCCAAGGCTCGTCAGCCTGGGGCACTGGGAAGGGCTGTCCCCTCAGAATCCTGCCTCCATTAGCCTGGATGCGGGGGCAGAGGCTGCAAGTCGAGGGTGACTCTGTTTACCCCAGGCTTCCCACCAGCCCTTTCGTGGCCTGGGAGGCTCTGGAATGTGCTGTCCGCTGTGGTCAGTGACCTGTGCCGCTGTGAGGGGACCCCTGCTCCACCCTGCTCCCTGAGCCAGCCCTGATGAGGGGGAGGCACATACCCCTGATACCCCATCATCTCTGCCTTGTTTTTTTTGTTTTGTTTTTTTTCCAGTACCAGAAATCGAACTCACAACCTTGCACTTGCCAGGCAGGCACTGTGCCACTGAGCTAAATCCCCAGCCCCCATCTCTGCCTTGTTACAGCCCATAGTCCCCCAGGAAGGGCAGGCCCAGCTGCCCTTCCCTCTAGACGAAGAGCCTGGGGTCCCATGGAGCCGCAGGGCTCACACCAGCCCCACCTTGGCACATTGGTCCTGAGGAGCCCTGCCCACCAGGCAGCCAGCAGAGCTCTGGGGGCCCAGGCCATGTTGTGACAGGGACGGCCGGCGGCAGCCGCTTCCTGCCCCCGGCAGCTACTCCCTGTGTGGCTTCGTCCTGTTGGCCGCCAGCTCAACAGCTGGGCACCGGGAGAGGCTGAATCACACCCTGAAGATCCGGGTGTCCTCGGTCCCCACCCCACCCCTGCACTGCTGCCAGGCCTGGGCTGGGTTAGGCTGAACAAGGGCCTCAGTTTGCAGGAAGGGCCCAGCCTGGTGCTACCATTGGCCTGTCCTTCCCAGCCAGGCCTGATTGGCAGTGGACAGGGCTGACCTGTAGGAGGCTGAGGTGTCCACTCCACACTCTGAGTCTGGGGTCTCACAGTGGCAGAGCCCGTGGGGACCCCACCTCGGCCACGCCCCTGGGCTCCCACTGCGGAGAGGGAGCAGCCCCATCTCAGGGCTGGGGTCGGCGCAGCAGGGGCTCCATCCAGGCTCTGCCTCCCCGTTACCCAAGATAGCACAGGTGGGCCCCACTGCCCGTCCTGCTGGGGCTGGAGGGCTGGAGGGAGACGTGCACCCTGCCGTCCGCTGTTCTTGTCCGGGGCTCTCGGGGCTGAGCCCCGGGGTGGTGCCAGGGATGTTGAAGCCTCCACACCGCGGGCAGCTGCGGCTGCTTTTGGGGAGACGGGCAGGGCAGTGTGGGGTTGAGGGGCTGCCTGGCCTCTGCTGGGAGGGGCCTCACTAGGGTGCTCTCATCCCACTCCCCAAGTTCTAGGTCCAGAGGAGGATGTGATGGGGTCTAGCAGCCCTCGTGGGAGACCCCAGCGTGTCCTTGTCCTCCTCATGACCATGACCCTGCCCCTGTCCTGTCCCCCATCCTGTCCCCCTGAACCCCTGCCCGCATTTGGGGACTGGAAGGTGACAGTCTCATCCCCACCCTGCACCCTCCTGATGCGCAGCACTGCTGCACCTGGCCTCTGTGGCCCTGCTGGCTGTGCCATGGCTGAGAGATGCCAGGAGAGGTGGCTTGGTTCTTCAAGGGCCACTGCAGGCGCCATGCGCCCTCTTTCTTGGGGCCGTCTGTGCCTCTTCGGCCGTGGCCACTTGCTGTATCCATGGGCCCGTGTTGTGGCCGGAGCCAGGTTGTCGCGACCTCCCCGTGCAGGTCAGATGAGCTGTAAAACCGCGTTTCCCAGACACCATGCTAATTAAACCCTGGACACTGTGTTAATTAAACGCTCCCGCAGGGCCCGAGCCCCAGGCTGCTGGCAGGGTCCCAAGTAGGTAACGCGCCGTTCCCTGCTGCAGGGGGGCAGCTCCCGCTCCACCCCTCCATTGGCCCCGGGCCATTTCCACTTGCCCCGAGCCCCTCCTTGGTCTACTGCCTGTTGCTGACTTTCTCCCACGGGCCTGGTTTTCTCTGTGGAGCCAGAGACCTGAGGTGTTCAGAGCTTTGCCAACCACAGTGTTCCAAGACCATGGCCCTGCGAGGGCACGGTCTCGCCGCACCCCTTCCTGGCCCCATAGGCCACGCACAGGGTCTGCAGAACGAGTCCCTGACACGGCTGTAGCCAGGGCGGGGGTCACCAAGGGCGCCGGGACCCTGCAGCGAAGGAGCTTGTGAGTGGGTGCTGGAGAGCTGTGCTCAGACAGTGGAGCGCACGTGAGGCTAGTGTCCCCCAGGGCTGTCGGGTGAGGGGGCAGGGCACCCTCAGAGGGTAGCCTGGTAGAGACGGGCCCTAGGGGTGGTCCCCAGGCCACCTCACCCCAGGCCGGGTGTGCTGACCCCGCACCACCACCTCTGGTCTGGGCTTGGGTTCGGTTTCAGCCCCTGGCTCCTGGGGGAGCCGGTGTGGCCTCCCTCGAAGAACAGGCAGTGCCAGCGGCCCCGGGTCGCATGCCCTCACCCCCTCCCCTTCCTCCTCCCTGCCTGCCCCACCCCCTGGCAGGCCCAGCGCAGTGTTCATGGCTATGGCCTGAGCCAAATAAGGCAGTGAACGCCGGGGCTGCAGCAGCTGGCTGGCACAGGGCTGGGCCGGGACCCCCCGAGCTGGCAGTTGTCATAGGGGGCTCCGGCTCCCCTGTCCCCATCTCTGGGCCCCACCTGCCCTGCACAGAGTGGCTGGGGCAGCAGCAGGCCAGATCCTGTCGGGTACAGAGCAGCCCGGACTGGGCCTGCCTAGAGCTGTCCCTCCTGGGCCGTCCCGTTCTGTGAGGCACCTGCTGTCTCCAGTGCCGTCCAGCTGTGTCTTCCATTTTGGTTCCTTCCTAACTACTCCGTAGCCGTGCAAACACAGACCTTGGAGGAAAGGGAGAGGTGGGGACTGGGCCTCTGTGGAAGGGGGGCTGCCCAGCGGCGCTGCCCCCGGCCCCTAGTGCGTTTACCCAGCCTGGACCAGGGGGCTCCCTGCCCCAGTGCTGGCGATCAAGCAGAGCCCTGAGCCCCAGCCCCAGCCCTTTCTTAGTGTTTACTTTGAGATAGGGTCTACCTCAGCCACCCAGGCTGGCCTGGAACTTGTGATCCTCCTGCCTCAGCCTTCTGAGTAACTGCAATGACTGGCATGCCCCACTGCACTCTGCTTGTTTTTGTTTTAATGTTAGTTGAGTCTTTGCTCTCTCATGGCCAGTTTCTGGCCCAGGGATAACTGGCAGTTGTAGGGGGCACCTGTGACTCGCAGTACGGAGTCTACAGACTGGCCCTGGCCGTGCGCACCTGGGCGGTGATGGCCCAGGACTCGACCTAGTGGTAGTCACTCATGGGCACCCACGCAGAGGGCACTGCCTGTGGTCTTGCCACACTGGCCCCAGCCTCCTGCGTGTGCAGCTCCGGGGTGCGGGTCTGGGCCCCATCCTGCATGTCCAGGCCTGTGTTTCTCCAGGGCGCCCGGGGTGGCGTGGGGCTGTGCGTCTTCAGTCACCGTTGCCGTCACAGGCGGGGAGAGCGGAGTTAGTGTGCGCAGCAGCGGGCCCCGGGGAGCAGGAGCCCAGGCCTGTGCAGGGCGAGGCCGGGACAGATAGGACCTGGCTTTCTTGGAAGCAGCAGGAGCCCCAGCTGTTCTAGGGGTCTCACAGTAAGGGTCCTGACTACTGGGTGAGAAAAGGGGCCTTCATCTCCCACAAAAGCATGGGGGTCGCTGTCCTCCGGGGGCTGCACAGGAGGACAGGCAGGAGCGGCCACTGCT